ATTATCACGTTCGTATAATATAATTATCACGTTCGTACAATATAATTATCACGTTCGTATAATATAATTATCACGTTCGTATAATATAATTATCATGTTCGTACAATATAATTATATTGTACGAACGTGATAATTATGTATATTGTAATAACGTGATATTATGTTGTTCAAACGTGAAAAGTATCTTGTTAGAACAATAAACTTTTCACGTTATAACGTGATACACTTGTATTTTTCTTTTGCCTGGGTGGCAGCTCTACGCTTCCGTAGTATCCAGCTTTTATATACAGTCTATGTTTGAAAGCTGCCGCCTACATTACCCATAATGCTCTGAGGAGCGCGCTTCAGCGATCACTTCTTTCTAAGTCTACATCCCAGGTTTTATATGCACTTTTTAATTGTGCTGTCCCCAGCCCCTGCTGACTCAATTGACATCCCTTGCGGCAGTTTGCCGAGAGTGCGCGGCTCTTTCTGAAGCTACAAAACACTCTCAAATCAAATTCACGCCCAAGATCAACAGAGATTCACGTGTAATATTATTGAACGTGTTCCCGGTTAACCTGAGCACTGAATGGTTGGATTTGCTTAGATATAAGATCCCACCATTTATTGGTGTTGACACTAGTGAAGGAAGGACTTAGAATACCGTTTCGGTTGATTGCGGTGTGTCAGAGCCAGCTCATCAGCATATGAATGCCCGGTCTTTCCCTTCATGCCATTTCAATGGCTGAAAAAAAAGAGGTGTTCCTTGAATACTTCGGTAAAAGCTGATTCAAGACCTCAGTTTTACTCAGCGAAAGTTTCTGAGGGTGCGGGATCACTTTTATCAGGTGCGTATGGTTCACCTTTGTATTAAACAGATGTGGTTAAACTTCGGGAGGAGCTGGAGGTTTGCAGTGAATGAAACGGCTTTGCAGTGCAGCTGAAGGAGGGGCTGTTTTTAGCTTTGGGACTTGAAAAATACAGTCTGTAGCTGTGATGACACTCCAGAACAGGTTAGAAACAGGTTGTGTCAGCTGGTTGACCTTTCCTAGGGAGAGGAAGGAGTTAAAGCGAAAATCTGCCAGCCACTCCCAAAACCTCCAGCTGCTACCTGGTTTCCCAGCACCGGTTACGATCCGGGGAATTGTGATCATATGCGCACGGCAGGGAAACGATGAAACCCAAGGCAACATTGAACCTTATGTTCCTGTCGGATGTAGTTTGGTGACTTGAAACTTTTGCTTCAGGTAAGTTTCACGACACTTCCCGTCGTTTTTTGCACCTGTTGCAAGGAATACGTGACGTCAGACAGCACTGGGGTTTATGAAGGAGAAGGTGTGTTTGATTGGGTTTCTGCTCAGTTTCTACCAAATGTGTGTGGCACTTTGAGTCATGTAATGTCTACAGCCTCTCCCACTATACCCAGTGATTTGGTGTGCATTACGCTGTAATTACCAGCACAGTTTGTTGCTTCAGTGGGAGACTTTTACCACCTCCCAGAAATGATTTTTGCGAAGCGGTGCAGTTAAATTCCTGCATTTTAAACCATAATTTGTCCTTCTGGTCTCCTCTGCGTAAACATGAATGAACCCCCCACACACTTGTATCGGGACTGTAGACGTGCCAGGACCCCTCAAGTGCATTAATTCTTACCCCACAATGGAGGGCCATCTCCATGGTGATGCGAGGGGGTCTGGCCTGACTCCCAACAAGCAGGGCTTTGGAGCTTTTAATGCCAGCCCTGCCATGCAGTTGGCGTGTGTGTGCATATGTAATGTGCAGAACTTGCAATTAGCCCAAAATGTAGGCCACTTAATGTGGTAGAGAGTTTGGGCTGTTCTGGGTTTTCAGATGGGAAGTTAAGTTTGTCAAGTGAAGCTCAGGTTGTGAAACTATTGTTGTAAAATGCAAACTTTAATTCAGGTCTGATGTTTATGGCCAGTATGACTCCTAAATGCCTAACTTGTGTCAATTGGCTCTTTTATCATCCAGAAGTTATTGATGGCTGGCAGCAAAAGTAAACGTCTCTCTTAATCCATAGCACAGATAGCACTGGAGCCTTTGATATATATACATGTGTATTGGCATTTTAAAAGTAATGCCTCACCCTGCACCTTTTAAGACTAATAATTCCTGCTGCTCTGTGAAACAACATCAGATGCCAAGAAACTGCTCCAACAGGTAGTGTGAGTGTCCTGTCAGGCATTTCTGTGCACAGCACATGTATACATCAGGCAGAACGGGTGCTTTTAGCTTCCTGGTCAGGCAAGTCCTTTCATTTTCACCACATTTTAGTTTTGGTGAAAATAAGTATGCATATTATAATGTGTTTTGACAGAGTTAGTTTTTTTTTATAGTTTAAGGTTTAACAACTTGTTCAGCATGTAAGTGTGAGACAAGAACTAAATATATACCGTGACCTCAAAGAGTCTAGTTCCAGTTTATGCCTGTCATGTTTTACCAATACATTTCTCACATTCAATATTTTACACTGTTGGTAAATAAAACTGGTCTTGCGAAGGTAATTTGGTTTGACTTGGTTCTTAAGTCGCAATTTAGGTATTAAACATATAGTCATCTGTAAAACAAAAGGACACATTTTGTAATTTTATGTAGAAATATGAGATTACATAAGGAGATATGTAATCTCAGCCTGTTCAGCCAGGTACAGCCTTGAGAAACAAGTGATATTTTTGTACAGATGTCAAAGCATGTGTACAAAATCAGCCCCTCTTCACTGTACAGTTGACTATACAGTAGGTTCACCATTCTGTAGTGATGTCCATATGTACAGCTACACCCTATTCGGTGCATTTAAAGTTCTGACTCCCAAGTAGGCACACTGTTACCAACAGGTTAGTGAAGTCCTCTAATGAAACATTCCGTGTTTTGATGGTTTAAACATCGTAAACATTACAACAATAAAATCATTGTTGTGATGTTATTCAGTAAGACCATAAACTATAAGG